ACTTCTTTTTTTCTTCAAGTTTCCTCTACATCTGTGAGAAAATTATCTATCATACACGGCCATATTAGAGGATTGATATTACGTATCAGTTCAGAAAGTTTTTCTTTGTTTCTAACGATATTTCCCTGTTTCTTAATCCATTATTTAGGTTTTGAAAGGCATCTTCTGTAATTCATATACACCTCGAGATTTCAGTATCATTATCTCCGTCATTTATTAAAAGATTTACCAAATATTTAATTTCCTGTACTTTCTTCATTTTGGCATCTCCAATTTTAGATCGTATTTTGGTCTGTTTCGCTTGCTAACAACCATACTTTCTCTCTTCTTGCAATTCGTCACATTTTCCCGCTTTTCTTTGCTATCTTGTGTAGGCTGTCGTTCAGTTTCCTTTTTGTATCTCTCATCAACCAGATCTTATTTGAATATCTTAACGTTCGTAAAATTGTGACCATCAATAATAATTCCTGATTCCCGTTAGATTGTCTCACTTAAATAAATCCACTGAGAAGATGGAGCCTCGTTTTACGACGTTTTGTATTTTTGTGTTCATAGCCAATTTATTTTCTATTCCGTATTCAATATATACAGGGTATCCCCCCCCACACACACAAAGAAACATGTTATAATAAAATGTGAATATCTGAGTAACTATATCTCTCAGGGAAACGAAATGAAATAATCTTCATGTTGAACAATAAAAGATTTATTTATCAAAAGTCATACAAGATATTCAAAGGGATGTAGATTTTATAACCGATTTCACAAATTTTCACAAATGTTCAATATGAGGAACACCCGTTACACGACACACGTCAAGTCAGTAGTCCAACTCCTGCCAAACACACTGTAGCATGCCTTGCGTAACACTCTCCAGCGTCTCAGTGATTCTCTACTTAATTCCTCTAGGCTTGTAGGAAGAGGGGAATATTAATCCGCCCTTTCACATTGCACCATAGTAAACATCACAAGTCAGGTGAACGTGGTGGCCATTTCAACAGCAAATTATCATTATCAATGGCACACCCCGAGCCATCTTCCTGGTAGATTCTCATTGAGATAAGTTCCCACGGTCAACTTAGTTTTTAAACATTTTTTTAAAAATATGAGATCATTTGACCGAGAACTGGCTGTTATACAAAATGATGTCAATTTTTGTGACAGTCTGTATTCTGAATTTTTCTACTGTCTTTCTTAAATCAGTTCATATATTTCTTATCAGTTTATATTTTTGTTTTACCTTATCAAATACCTTTCCATATACAGATATGCATTTGTATTAATCTCTCTAATACTCTTCCGATCATAAATATATCTTTTCTTATTCCAACATCTGTTATAAAACCAGTCTGTTCTTGTAGTATTTTCGGTCTAATACTGCTCTATATATATATACTATCCATCAGGATCTGGATGAACAACATAGTTATGTGGCTTATTAGGATGATTGGATGATGAGGCTCCCATTCATTGGCTTCTTAGGCAGCACTATGAAGATGAAGCTGCTAAAGTTTTCCAGTATATAGTCAGTGTCGCATATAGAGGGTGTCCAGTAAATTTCGGTAAATTTGTTATTACTGTTTTTTAATCTTTAAAAAGTTAAAAAAAACCCTGAATAAATTTCTTGAATATTCATAATATTGAATAATCATTCGACCCTCGCGTAATTACTTAACTGTGATTGGCTCTTTTATGATTGATTAATTGCAACTCGATCTTGTAACTCATCATTTAAAGATTATTCGCAGACAACTTTCGTCTTTCGTTCTGCCCTTCTCGTATAGCTAAACAACTTCCTGACTTTGAGCGTCAAATTATCGTACGTTTCAAAGAAGCACATCCGGCGTGAGGGTTTGACGAAATGTGCAGCAATTATTCCTAAATGTTTCAGTCATATCAGTCGGCACCAATTTTCAACAGTTGTCTCACGTCTTTCTTAATTTAAGGCTCTTTTACAAGGCAACCTCTATTATCTCCGTAATCTTGTCGATGTCGAAATAGTCTCTGACATTCACTTCCGGTTTTGCTTTTTCTTCTTGTTCATCTTAGTGATTGCTAATCTTAAACTTTAATATAACACGCTCTTCCATATTTTCATATATTTTAGGCTTCTGTATTTTGCCGGGAAAGAGTTTTCTAACATATTTTTCATTTTTGAATTATTTTCGCTTTTTCTCTTATGAACAATTTTAAGCATCCTGTCGATGAATAAGCTTTGCCCTGTTATTTCATTTCTACTTGTGTGTAAATATGTGGCAACTATGCATCTTTCCATCTACGCACACTGTTCCTTGAATCATTCACTTTTTGCTTGGCTTCATTTGTTTTTAATTCTTCTTTTTAATTTTATATATTCTGTAATAATTTTATAACATAATTTATATTTCTAGAATTAAACCTTAATAGAAATCTTCTTTCAACAAACAACATAAGGTTTTACACCACAATATATATTATAAAATAATCTTTAAAAAATTAATGAACAAACATTTTCATTGTTTCATATGTAATCTCACCAATAACAAACATATATTGCACCTACACGATTATATCTAAACTGAATATAATATAAATACCATTTAATATTTATTATGGAATAAATGCAATATAAATCTCTGCTAAGAGAAACTAGCATCAAGACTAAAAAAAAATGCATAATTATGTTGGTTGCTTTTCGAGAATGAAATAAAAATGCATGTATATGTGAATATTTTTGAGGGAATAAAATAAAAAAATACATATTACGGTAAACAGATAATGAAGTCCATATTAAAAACAGTTCAAGAATTAAGCCTATGTAAGATCCTTTTTCGCCTCACCCCCCCAAAAAAAAACTGACATTGCAATGGGATCTGCATTCTATACCACACGTTCAACTCGCATTTCACGACACTTGTCAGAATGTATCTCGAAATCCTTTAACTATTTTCCAAACCTTTTCATGTTTAGTCATTAAAATACGTATTTTGGGAAGAGGATGCGATAGAGGCATTGTCAGCACCTTGTTATCTATTGGGAAATACAATTATTCAAGTATTAATTTATGTAAATATCTTTTCAAGTGAATAAAAAAAGATTATAACATCTTAGAATAGGATTTAGTGACCCCAGTAACCGGATATGGCAGACTATGGAGATATTTCAATTGGAATCGTTACTGTGCGAAGCGGTAAGATGACGAATTGAGTGGAAACACTTAAAGGAAATCATCACAAAAACTTGAAATGTTACTTGATATTTGAGATTCGAGGGCTTCGCATTATCAAGTGTAAAAATGACACGTTGACAAGAAAATAAATAGATTATGGTGCATTTTGAATAGGAAGTTAATAAATACTGACTTCATAATCATTCAAATTACATTTGCATTTTATATGTGTATGTGTGTGTACAACACCAACATATATTCGGGAGTGGATATTTCATCACCGTCAACCCAACATCATCAACATCACGCACATCTGTTTGATTGGCTTTAAGTCAGAAAGATTTTGAAACTTTCGCTGTTTGTCTTAGTGATTTATTAGTTACAACTGCATATTTCGATGACTGGTTTAATTTTCAAGACCAGAAAAATAGCCATGTTGAAGCAGCAAAAAAAAAAAGGCTGTAGACAGAGCTGCGGAAGGAACAACCCACAATAGGAGGAATTCTTACGGGGCTGCAATAGGTGCAAAGAAACCAAGATGCATTTGTCGAGAAATTAATTAGAGGTCAATTAAAAAATAAATGAAGTCAGAAGAAAGAATTTGCAAAATTCTTTCTTCTTGTCCTTGTTTTTTTTTTTTTTTTCGTAACCAATATTTGAAGGGAATTGCATAAAAGTTTAAATTAAAAATAAAGACATGTATTAAAAATCCTTAATAAATTACTTTTATTTGTTTATAAAAAGCCGATGAACAAATGTCATAGTTGGCATGTCGTTGAGTTTTACCCTGCCCTGAGGTGGCTGGTGGTGAGTCGTCCTGGAGTTGAGTTTTCACGGAGATGAGTTGGCCAGTGTTGAGTCGGCGGTGTTAAGTATATATATATATATATATATATATATATATATATATATATATATATATAGAGAGAGAGAGAGAGAGAGAGAGATATCTATATGTGTGTGTGTGTGTGCGCGTATTGAAAATAGGTATCTGTATTTCTACATTAATAATATTTTCTAATGATACTTCTATTAGGTGCTGTATTTTTTCGTTTTTTTTTTCAAGTGAATTTCAAAGATATTTTGATATTTGTACATGTAAAAATTTGATATATTTTGATATTTGTACATGTAAAACTTTGATATATTTTGATATTTGTACATGAAACCGCACATATAACAATTTGTTCGACTAGCCCCGCCATCTTTGAAGCATGATTCTATCTCGCCTTTCTGTGTGATTGTCTGGTTCAAGTTGGTTTTTTTCCAGTTTTCAGGCAATTAAAGTTGTTTCTATTAGGAATATATTGTAGAGATCGAAATATGTGGTAATCCATAGGTGCAAGCTCAGGTGAGTATGATGGGTGTATTCGGATAGACTTTACCAATTCCTGCTCGGGCTGTTAAGCAACACCTTTGCTATTGACCAACTCCGGACATTTTTTTAACAATTGCTAATTTTAATCGGTTCAACTGGGAACTGTTCTCATAATACACATTACCCTTCCAATCCCAACAGAAATACAGTATCACTTTCTTCAGCTGCAAAGTGGCTTTCAGAGTGGTTTTCTGTGGATCACTTCGTTTTACGTAGTGCCTTTTTCGCTCCATATTGTTGTAAACCATACATTTGTCATGTTTAAAGAACAAAAAACAAAAAGGAGTCGTCTTGTCACGTTTGAGCAAATGATCACAGATACAAATGTCGTCCATTAAATTTTTTCCCGTTAAATTGGGAGGTCAACCAAGATCATAGCGTTTCCCATATCCAGGTGTTTCTAAATGCCTTACAACAGCATTATGAGATATATGGACTTTCTCTGCGATGTCCAGTGTCATATAATCTGGGATTTACGGCCACGTCATGTTGCAACACCAGTTCCTGTACGATCGCCGAAGTTAAGCAAAGTCGAGCTTGGTCAGTAGCTAGATGGGTGGACGCTTGGGGATACCATGTGCTGTAAGCTTGTATGTACAGATGGCGTAGTGTACAACAGTTTGGAATTGTTAATCGCTGAACCGAGTTCCAATTCCACTTGGGTATGTTATATTTACTTTTTTAAGCGTTTCACCCCAAGCAAGGCGGGAAGCCACTAGCACTCAAGGGGCTACAGAGAGTTGGAGCGAAAGCAAATAGGAGTGACAGAGAAAAGGATGAAGAGAAGGATAGGGGATAGATCAAGTTATCTGGAGACGTCCATTGACATTACATTTGAATAGTTGGAGATTATAGCTATCATATCAAAAGAAAAACCTTTACAATCTAAAAAATGTTCTGGTTTTAATTAACTTCCAGGTTAATTAAAACCAGAACAGAAAGCCGTAGAAAATGTATAAAAAAATCCGTAAAGCCGTAGAAAATGTATAAAAAAAATCAATCATCTAATCTGGATTATTTTAAATCAGCGTGTCGATTGGGTCATTATCAACGACCTCAGGCCTACTGAGACGTTCTCGCTTTTCAAGAAAAAAATTTCCTCTTTCGAACTTTGCGGGCCACTTACCAACAGTACCCGCGGCACCATCTCAATAAATATCACATAACATTTTTGTTGGTTTGTTGTAAGGCATTTTCTCCTAATAAAAATGCATTAAATGACTAAAATTCTTCTCCTTTTCCCACATATTCAGTTTTAACGTAAATCCATTTAAAATTCACAATCCAAGTACAAATCATATCTAAAGGTGCGTTGAGATGTCACTTTTAAGAATATGTGTGCCAATAAATTTCAGTTACGTATTAAATAAAATCACGCGAAAAACGTTACCAACTGAAAAGGCCGCGAAATTTCTTTCCAAACTTATATTTCAAACATCCGAGAGCTCGATGCAACCAGGTTTGTCAGATCTCGTTGGTTTCAACTCCCTTTGAGCCGCGAGGGTAGCACTTGTGGGCCAAGTGTGTGGGCTTCTCCGTCGCGCAGAGTGCTCCACCAAAATCAAATTTCCGCGAATGGCCTTGCTAAACTCTCTTCGATTCACAGCCATCTCTAACACCGACACCAGAGGGAGAGAAAGAGAAGAGTGAGTGAGTGAGTGAGTGAGAGAGAGAGAGAGAGAGAGAGAGAGAGAGAGTATGACGATCCCGATGCTCGAATGTGAGCCGTGCTGACAATAACAGTATAATTCCTGCCCATATAGAAAGTTCACTTCATACGTGTTATAGAAATACTTTATTGATTTAACCAAATCTACTCTTGCAAGTATTGACTAATTGAATTGTAAAAATAAAAAGTAGACACCTAAGAAAATTCCTTTGATTTTAACATTTATTTTTAGTTCCTCGCCTAAGTGAAATTTATTCTTTTTCTTAATAAAACGTTTTAGTAATTCTTTTGTAACATTTTAATGGCGAAAGTGTTCATGAACGTTTAAGTTTTTTTGAAAATATTGAATGAAGTTTTCTGTGCAGATGGAGCCATCTTCTTCATGAAACTGGTATTTTCGTATGAGTAAAAATGGTTAAATAGAAATCATGATACAAAAGGAATTCATTTTTGAGTACGTGCTATTTCGAAATAGCTAATTTGGAGAATGAAGGTATAATCAGACTGATTGGCTATTGACAATCATAAGTTAGATGAAATGGAAGTTAATAATCGAAAATACATTCTCAAACATTGCAATCATGATTCACGTTTACATAAACATTGATAATTAAAGTTATTTGTAAAATAATTGAATGTAAACAAAGTGATGGAATCTTCTGAGTCAATGAATTTCTGGGGATTGTTCTTTTATTCTGAATCTTATCAGAATGAATATAAGAACGCGAACAGTTAAGACCATCAATTCCGCGGGCTAGTGAAACAAAAATTTATTTTATTCACGCATTACTTTCAACATAATATCCTTCCTTGTTAATGCACTTAATACATTAGTAAAATATTAATCAAATCCATAGAGTATTACTTAGACTTACTGAACCTTATTTTTAAAATTAGGAATTATGTTGCATTCCGTTAGAGATTTTACGTTTTTTAACATTAATCTTATTAAAAATGGTTCAAGAAACAAGATTAATGGTGAACTTAATTCTAATTGGCTATAAGGCTTCAGGGGTAGATTTATTGCTAAATATTCGAAGTAATATCTTGAATGTTTAAATTTGAAAAAAGAACTTTTAAACAGTATACGTAAGTCTAGTATGGATATTTACGTCATTAAAGATTTCTTTTCAAAGAGAAAAGTTCATTTTTATGTTGGAATATTTATTTCCACCTAAATAGACACTGTCTACAGTTATGATGAACAGTCCCAATGTCTAATATTGTCTTCTGTGTTCATAAAATATGTTGGGTTTCAATATCAATCCAGACGTCAAGAGTTATCAAAAGTTCCTGAATTGCCTAGAGCATTTGCATGAATTTAGTAAAAGACGCAAAAATCACGAAAGAATAACTTTATTTGAGACAAAATTGACATGAATAGTCTTCAGATTCTTCTTGATACATCTACTTATGGAATCTTCCGCCAGTGTCGACGACGGCTTCAATACGAGGTCTGAAACGTTTCCATATCCGAAGCAGATAGTCTTCATAGTTTTAGACATTGTGTTAGTGATGACAAACTTTCTGAGATTTTATAGTGTTATGGGGGCGTTGATTGATATCACGACTCATCTATACTAGTCTAACGGATTCAGAACTGGGAGGCTGCTTCTTGTGCTGCGATTGTGGAGATTGTAACTTTTGGGTGGTCTTTGCCTTATGAGACGGTGCAGAGTTTTATTGATAAGTATATGTACTTATTTTGTTCGCACTTCACAAGCCTCTCCAACACCTCCTTAAAATCAGCAGCATTGGAGTGGGAAGGTATGAAATCTTCCTCGTTGCTCACGACTTGCAGATCCATCACAGTTGTTGAAAACTTTGTGTGCACGACAGATGTAACGTCTTTAGGGTCTCTAAATGAACAAACTGCCATTCTCTTCGTTGTCCTTTTGATTCTGATCACATTTTTAATCATCAGAGAAAAAAAAAACAAAGCATTCCAAGCTATTGATATATTTCAACTTGCTCAACAAGCGCTTTGCACGGATCAAACAGTTATCTTTTGTCGTTGCAGACATGAATGGTTTGTACTAGGATCTTTAGGCCACGGTTTTCGTTTGACTAATGCTACAGAATTCCTTTCAACGGCTTCTAACTCGTTGCGAACAGAAGATGCTAAAAAGCGATATTAAAAGACATTTAATCAAAGGACTGAGCAACACTTTACGATCCACCGATGAAGATGTTGGGAAAACGATTGGCCTGTTGCATCACCACAGGAAGTATCTACCTCCTCTGCCATAGTTCCTCATGACAAGAAGCATGCAAGACCAAAATTGGAGTACTACTGCTCACTTCCCATCATAGATATAATAAAAAAAATAGAATGTCATGTTGATGAAAACGTATTCTCCACACAGGAGCTTCTTGCCCACAGATGAACACCGTTCTTTTTATTTCTATCAGTTCATACCTTGACAGTACGGACAAGCTATGCTAGAATCGTATCACAGTCATTTCTTCCGTATTGCAAGGAAGAAGATCTACCTAGTATCTTCGAAAGAACAGACTACCGTGTGGGTTCTCCAGAACACTACAATCTTAACAATTTCAGCACACTGGGCAATCATTATTCTACCCTTATCATCAACCACTTCACTTCATATCACCGCCTCTTTCATTCATATCACACACATCATGAATAATAACCATTTGAATATTAACCTTCTACCTTAATGACAACAGAAATATTTTGAATTAAAAGAATGTAACATTTAATTGAGAGGGACAATTTTAGATGGAAATCTCACAAACGGGAATGAAGTCATTCATTCGTTCGAGTAGTTTTTTTTTATTCTTCAAACGTGTTTTTTCTTGCTAAAGTAGCGAGTAGTTTTTCAAGAAAAGCATTGGGGTTGCAATGTAAGCAAAACACTAGACATAGTAAAAATAAAATACCTTTTAAATTTGAAATAATAAATGGCTAACATCATTTTTAGAGAAGAAGACAAATGAAAAATCAATGAAAGATTCTCATATCCTCAAATATTTACTGAAATTGTTTTTTATCGTTTTTTTTCCATAGAAAAACATTTATTTTATCGATTGAGGAAAAGTTGACAGACAAATGGAAACTTTAATAGAGAAGCAAATTTTGTCAAATCAAAACCCAAAATATGGTTAGAATAAATCCATACATTTAGATTCAATATTATTTCTTGTAACCAAAACATCTTTCACGCATTTAATCATGTTTTCTTTAATGATTGATTTTTTCGGTGTATTCTTGAAAGGTATTAATATTTCAAATAAGTATATTATTGTTTTATTTTGTGGTGGAGATTAAGAGGATAAGTAAGTAGAAATAGAAACCACGTGCTTTCATCATGTAGTTTATTGTGCATGCCATTTCCGGTAATTCTTATAGGCTAACCAGGAAGTAATCAAAACGGTAACTAATTTAAAATGTCTAATTCTTCTCCAATCTGTCGTGTTACTTCAGTTCATTGGCGATCAAGGTTCTCTATAATTTCCTGTTCTTTGTAACTCTTAATAATTTTTCTCTTTTTTTTTATTATCTCTCCTATTTTTGTCATCCATTTATTTAAGCTTGCTAGGTGCGTTATGCGTGGTTTTCTTCTGGCATTCCAGCTTTCAAAGTGTCCCGTGAGTATCAAATTTTCAAAGCCCTGTTTCCTCATTATGAAGCTCTAGAAATTTCATTTGTTACTTTCTGATGTTAAATATAAGTGTCCTTTTTGTTTCCATTTTCTCTAAATGTTTGTCGTTGCTCAGATGATCGGCCCCTGTTATTCTCAGCATCCTTCTGCAGAACCACATTTCTTTTACTTCAAGTCTCTTCTTTATCTGTGATGAGATTGTCCAGCGTTCACTGCTGTACAGGAGGATTGATATTTCATAACAATTCAGTACTTTTTGCTTTGTTTCTAACGAATTTTTTTTCTGTTACTT